CAAAAGAAATCGATGAAGTACCCGGATTAAACGAGATATGAATCAAGGGCCCTTCCACTAAGTATTCAATTATATCTCTCAGTGATCCTAAAGTGTAGTATCAGTGAATTACATGCTGTTTTTCTTTCTTTCACAATCAAACTTTATTTACAACTGTACGTGTTCTGCTGCGTTTATTTAGTGATGATGGCAGTTAAATACTGCTGAACCATATAGGGTTGTAATTACAAGGTGTAATTAAAGTTTGGTTATGAAGAAAAGAACGTTTTTTTTTACCTAATTCACTGAACTTACTCACAAGTCTGTCACTACGAACATTTCGGTTTCTAAGTACGTGTAGTGTTTAAGTTACAGTTTTTGAGGTAATATTAGTAACATCGCGGTCAGTCGTATATTGGAAAGGAACAAATATTCGTTCAGTACGCTAAATTTACCAGAACCAGTAGGTTAATCTAACTTCAAAATTTTAACCAATCACAACAAATGTGTTATCGCCAAGCTTTACTCTGTCCCACTCACTCGATTTGACCTTCAAAATGACCTAAATACTATTATTCATAAATATTAGTCATACTTTCCAAAGATTTAAATAAAGTTATTTTACACACATGAGTAAAGTCACTATAACTAATTACACATATTGTTACTTTACTCTCACTGGAACTACAATATATCCCGTATTTAGGTATAATGTACTGAGTAAACGTGAAATTCAATAACAAATCGAATAATCGACAAAAATGTGTTGAATGGTGTACGTTGCAAGTCTAAACAATGTAACTGTGTTGAATGGTGTACGTTGCAAGTCTAAACAATGTAACTGTATTGAATGGCGTACGTTGCAAGTCTAAACAATGTAACTGTATTGAATGGTGTACGTTGCAAGTCTAAACAATGTAACTGTATTGAATGGCGCACGTTGCAAGTCTTAACAATGTAACTGCTTTTGAGTAATTAAACCAATTTTCTGAGATAAGTAAATCTAATGTAACCAAACGTTCCAACCAAGAAACTGAATCATCAAGTTTTAGTATAAATAAATGACTTAACTTGATGGGATCTATTGTATATCCTGAATAGCTCAAAGTACAGATATGACCAGTAAGTATGTATATCCTTGTATCAATTTAATTCACCATACATGAATTTAAGCATCTTTACCAATCACGTGCCTGACTATTCAAGAAACGTAATTAGTTTTTCAACAAGTTCACTCAGCATACTTCGTTTCAAACCCAAGGTAACATTTGAATCCATGTAGATTTTAGAAATTCCTGTAATCTCACCACTAAGTGTTGCATGTCTTTTTTATATGGCTTAAATGATTAGGCCTATTTCAGTTTCTATATGCTTAATTCAAGTCTAGGAATTGATCATTTTAGCAAGTTGATTTATATCATTTTCCAATATATACATATACAAAATCAGTATTGAATTAAAAGTATATAACAAACCCAAAACCATGGATATTGTCACAAAAATAAAGCGAAATCAAAGTAAAAAAAAACAATTTGGGAATCTTTTCCTTGAAAAATAAAAGTCATTGATCTAAAAATCATAATCAACGTTTCATTTTTCACCCCATTACCTCAACCAGGTTTAGCTTATTCGTATACACCCAAAAAAAGAACGTTCGCCTGGAACGTGTCATAACAAAGATTTATTTTATTTTGTGTATGTGTGTGAATTGTAAATCTATGCTCACTCTCGTCATTATTTCCTTCCATGATCAGGATTGTGAGAAATTTTAAATAACCAGTGTCATCCACTACGCATAAGTACGGATAAAAGCGAAATCTGCCAAAAACGACTGAGCCTTTATTTCTTTTATAATTCATATTTTTTTATTTCTGTTATAACAATTTCCTAGTGGTTCAGTGATAACCTCCAGACTTACAATGCTAAAATCAGGGGTTCAATTCCTCTCTGTGGACAAGATCGCAGATAGATAATTGTGTAACTTTTGGCAAATAGAAAACCCAACAAAATCTGTTCTAACATAAAAAACTTATTATATTAAACAGTGGTATAGTGTAAAATAAAGAAGTACCGGAACGCAAAATCTACTACATAACCGTGCTAGGCGAGATTCGTTTTAAATAGAGATAGAACGGCGTTCCGGCTAAAACAAATAATTAAAGGTACGCTGTGCCCACCCCACATCACCTTTGCTTAAGCCAATAAAATGTAACTTTTACTGGCATTGTTTGTATTGTTCAGCTCCTTTCTTAATATCTTTAAAAGTTTCGTTTACAATATTGGTTCGATTCCTCTCTGTGGACAAGAGCGCAGATAGATAATTGTGTAACTTTTGGCAAATAAAAAACCCAACAAAATCTGTTCTAACATAAAAAAACTTATTATATTAAACAGTGGTGTAGTGTAAAATAAAGAAGTACCGGAACGCAAAATCTACTACATAACCGTGCTAGGCGAGATTCGTTCTAAATAGAGATAGAACGGCGTTCCGGCTAAAACAAATAATTAAAGGTACGCTGTGCCCACCCCACATCACCTTTGCTTAAGCCAATAAAATGTAACTTTTACTGGCATTGTTTGTATTGTTCAGCTCCTTTCTTAATATCTTTAAAAGTTTCGTTTACAATATTGAATTTCTGTATAGAAACCAAGGTATGTATTTAGTACCATTTGTTTTCCTATTGCTTGTAGTATTACGTATCGTATATTTGTACTTGTGCTTACTGCACATTTCTTTCTGAAGTATGCTATTAGGTGTAGCTAAAGGAAGGGGAGGAGTTACTATAGATTTTCAGCGGAAATGCCAGATTTCTCCTTGTTTTTATTGCCACTGGTTAGTTTTATAATCTCACCTCCTAAGTCTATTTCTCGCTAGGGGTCACACTACGCCAACCTAGGAGGTTTCATCATACTGCTATTCTCTTCTCGCATGTATTTCGCTTCAAAGAGACAAAACAAGAGGAAAATGCACAAGGATTGTTTGCAACATGGTCAAAACGATTTAGGCTTGTAATATATACAGCACGAACCATAACTCATTATAAGTCCTTATTATGTTATTTCTGGAGTGCAAGCAATGTTGTATGAATTCAATCTTGGTTTATAGAAAACCTGTTTTATTTCAAACAGTTAAAAGAATAAAATACAAATCTGACGCTCCTGGTTTGTTGTCAACTTTTTATAGGGAAATTCTTAAAACTGTCAGTATTGTGGAACGCATAAACATTTTCAGATTTTTGTCTCTTGTGACAGTATTTTAAAAACTTCAAAGATATACGTTTAAATATTCATTAAACATATATGTACACGTATGTATACACGTGTAAACATGATTTCCTGGAATACCTATGGACTTTCCGAGATATTTTCCAAACGTGTTTGTTATACTTACTTATTCTTCCTTTTATTTAGAAGAAAAAGAAATGAAATAAAAAAATATAGAGTAGATTCAAATATAATTCATCCTTGGATGATAACTCCAAATATACCATTTTTACTGTCTTTTTTTGCTTTATTGGATGTACATACATAAAAACTATGATATATTTATAAAACAAAATAATTAGAAACTTAAATGCGTTGAAGTTAGATTGTATACACAATAACTATATATATATTTTTTTTTTGTAAGAAAATAGTCTATATAAGGTATGGTATTTGTCACTAATTAAACCAAATAGATCCCTGTTCATCTCCCTGATGAGTATTCAATCACGACATTAGAGATATATTCAAGTACGCATTAGCTATGTTATCTTAGATTGGAAATTTTTTTACAGAAATAATACGATATTTGTAAAACAGACTTACAAAAATAATCATGCATGTGTTGATTAACGCAAAAACCAATTAGGAAGATTTATCAAAAACCGGCAGTTATTTTTATTATGACGACATGACAGCCACAGAAATTTAGTAATGACACAAGAGCAGACCAGGCAACAGATAAGTAGAGTATAATATATATATATATATATATGTACATAAACTGTATCTTTCATCTTGCAATTAACGTGTCAGAAGTAATTTATTATAAGAACTCTTCTAGAAAAACATTATAATAGTGTTTTCTCATAATAACCGTAGCTAAGATTAAAATCAATTAATTTTAAGCTCTGACTTTATAGGAAATGCAACAGTGTATACATTTGGCTTAATAACTGAAATATGGTAAGCCGCAGCTTTGTTAGTGTAAGGTTTAAACATTATCTTCAAAGTGAGAATATTTTAAAGGCTCTTCTGATACTATGATACTTACGTGTCCTGTTTTCAAATGTCAAAAATTGTAAATCTGTTTTGTTTGTATCAGCAGTATCAGTATTTGTTTGTTTGTAATTAAGCACAAAGCTACACAATGGGCTATCTGTGCTCTGCCCACCACGAGTATCGAAACCCGGTTTCTAGCGTTGTAAGTCCGCAGACGTGCCACTGGGGGCCAGTATCAGTAAAGGAATAATTTTAAACTACTGGGTACATTATGTCTTTTATGGCATTCTTAGTTATCGTTATGTACAAGGTACATGTTCATAAACACAAACAGACAGAAAGATACTGATGAATTAGAAACAAAAAATAACTAATTATATGAGTACCTCGAATATGAAATATTGCAGTCTTTGATGAGTACGTGTCCTTGTTGGAAATGTTTTTCGTGTAACACGTTTTACTTTGAAAACAAAATACAGTTGGAATAAAATCCCGACATGTTTATATAGCACCCCAAATTCATAATCAATGTTAGGTTAACATAACTCTGAGAGTTACTGAGCTAGCCATCACAGATATACACACAGATGTCAGAAGAAAACGCTACAAATACACAGAAGCAACATTTCCTTCTCTAGCCAATCGCACTAGTTCCACATCCTTAGCAGCAATCCCACCGGTCACGGGCACTTTTTCAGCGTGGATGGCACACTTCATCTCCCCCCTCTGGCGTGCCATTGGCCTGCCCCACCGAATGCTGCCGCACCGACTCGGGTTACGGGACACATCTGGAGGAAAGAAAGTGTGTTAGGGCAGCGGATTACAAGAGTTCTCCAATCTTAGTACGTATTTTTTCTTCTTGTTTCTGTGGGTATGATGTGCTAAGCCTGTAAAGCGTGTTTTTAGTTGCCACTTTATTTTACTTTGGGGAGATTCTAACGCTGTTTCCACAGCATAAAGGTAGGCGTTGTGGTTGTTTTATTTGATTGTTTTTGTTCTTTCAAGAAATAACGCAAACCAAAAGCCTGGCGATTAGTAGTTGTGTTTCTAAACATTTAATTATGTATAATGTCAGCGTATTAAATTCTTGACACTGAGAACACTAAAGCAACTATTACGTTACTTCTGAAATTTTAATAGCTAAATTGTACTGGACAAGAGAAAAACTTAAATCTTAATCTCGAATATCTTGTAAACAAGCAGAAATGTGAATATATGAAATCAATAAAACAAACTCGTATGCTTGTGTATAGCCAATTCAATAAAATACATCCCCAACTTTAAGAAACATTTTAAAAAACGACAAAATTGTTAACAATTATATCGGAATACAGGCTCTCATAGTTAAATAGTTAACAATTATATCGGAATACAGGCTCTCGTAGTTAAATAGTTAACAATTATATCGAAATACAGGCTCTCGTAATTAAATAGTTAACAATTATATCGGAATACAGGCTCTCGTAGTTAAATAGTTAACAATTATATCGGAATACAGGCTCTCGTAGTTAAATAGTTAACAATTATATCGGAATACAGGCTCTCGTAGTTAAATAGTGAAAATTCTTGAAATATGGCAGGTGAATTTCGATTTCACACTTTACTAATGTCATCTGGATTTCAATTATTTTTAACATTTAACTGCATGTACCAGTGCTGAGAGTGACCGGTTAAATGTGGGTTTCACTATAAAACAAAAATTAACAGAAGAGTTTGCTATTAGGATTACATGTGAGAAGCCAATAGCAAAAATAAACTAAGCTTTCTTGGTCATAATGCATGTGGTAGAAAATTCAATATTTTGGGAGTGCTTTTTTTTCTGTGTTGTCTCTTTTATACATCGGCTCAATACATATTTCACGTTTTTGCGAAACTGGGTATAGACTAATAGAGCCCGGATTCTCCCTGACGTCATACCTGTTTCTTAATACCCCATAGGTAATTATGTTTTCTTAGGTAGAAACGCGGCGCCTTTTCAAGGCCAAGTATTTATATATGACACTATCAGAATTGAAAATAAACTATATTTGCTAATTATATTCAAGCACGTTTTATAAACCAGCTTCATTATATCGGTGTAACCAATTTCATTTCATGACTTTTTATCCGTTCAAGATATTATTCGTTATCGTGCCATCTGTTTTAAGAGTTGTCCCAATAACCTAATTTATCGTTAAACGTGTCGATTGTGGCGCTAGCAGCTTAAGGTGGAAAAAAATAACCCTAGGCAATATTCGTATAGGAAATAACGCAAGCTCACGGAGTTCCTTGCTTGGTATGTCCAATTCTAGTAACTATTAGTTACAGAGACCTTGTGCCTCACATGCTGAGACCAGCCAAACATTTCTCGTGGAACAAGGTCACGAATTATTTAAACAAAAAGCCGTGAATTAGAAAACAACAACAGGGAAATACAATCAGTTTATAACATCGAAAGTCCTTACAAAAAGAAAAGGAAGAAGAAGAAATAAAAAAACTGGGGGGGGGGAGAAAATTATCTTGGGCTACTCTTGTCTGACCAAATAGTGGGATTTGCCCGAAACATTTCCACGGTTCCAAAGTGTTGGCGCGTATTGCGACAGCGGTCGCGAAACCACAGTCACAGCAAGCTCGTAACTAGGCCACTCCTGGCTTTTCACGATATAAAACAAGACTTGTTTACACAAGAGCCATTACACATACAATATAACTACTACGGTAAAGAGAGTGAAGTAACTAGGGTTTTTCGCTTCACCTCTCAATGTGCTTGGTCAATGAGTACTTATAAGAAAGGTTTATTAGTAAAACGCTTCAACCCCCCCCCCCGGTGGCTCAGTGGGTTTATAACGAAATAATGGAGTTTCGATACCCACGGTGGGCACAGTTATCCATTAGGACACAACTACAACACTGTCTAAACAATATAATGTTCTTGATAACTATAATGTTATCCATGACACAACTACAATACTGCCTAAACAACATAGTTATGTTTATGATAACTATAATACGTTTTTGATAACTATGATGTTATCCAGGACACAACTACAATACTGTCTAAACAATTTAATGTTTTTGATAACTATGATGTTATCCAGGAGACAACTACAATATTGCCTAAACAACATAGTTATGTTATTGATAACTATAACGTTATCCAGGACACAACACTGCTTAAACAACAGTTATGTTTTTGATAACTATAATGTTATCCAGGACACAACACTGTTTAAACAACAGTTATGTTTTTGATAACTATGATGTTATCCAGGACACAACTACAACACTGCTTAAACAATAGTTATGTTTTTGATAACTATGATGTTATCCAGGACACAACTACAACACTGATTAAACAACAGTTATGTTTTTGATAACTATAATGTTATCCAGGACACAACACTGTTTAAATAACAGTTATGTTTTTGATAACTATAATGTTATCCAGGACACAACACTGTTTAAACAACAGTTATGTTTTTGATAACTATGATGTTATCCAGGACACAACTACAACACTGCTTAAACACCATAGTTATGTTTTTGATAACTATGATGTTATCCAGGACACAACTATAATACTGCTTAAATCAACACAGTCATGCTCTGATAACTGCATTGTTTTCCATGACGGGTCTATAAGGAAAGATCTTAGTCGAAAATAACAGCTGAATTATATCTTCCAGTCGATATGCTGGACAAAATTAGAGTTAAAATGTTAGAATATTTCTGACTCGCATTCTAATGTTGCAAAACCGCTCTCCGCGCTTTTGGATTGGATGCGCTATAAGAGTGACAGTCAAATCCCACTATTCTGTCAGATAAGAGTAACCCAAGAACTGTCGGTAGGAGTTGTTGACCAACTGCCTTTCATCTAGACTACAAGTTCAAAATCAGGAACGCTTATGAGCTTTTGTATAGCATTGTGCGGAAAAATTATGAGCAAACAAGTCAAAAGGCGATAATAAAAAGCACTGTATGCACCAAGTTAACCTGAAGTGAAAGAATGTTAAATATACAAAGTTAATACCACCTGGTGATGCAAAGTTAACATCAAATATGTTACTTAAACAGAGCAAGTTAACCAAATGATACAAATTTAACCTTGTCAAAAGGATAATTTTTAACTTTTTCAGCTGTTTCTTATTATAGGCAATATCCTTATGAGTTCGATAAAATGCTCAGATTGTTTATCTTTAAACGTATCTTGTAATAAGTTATATTTTTGATGTCATGACGCGTCTAGCATCTTAACTCTTCAGCCAACGCAGAGTTCACTGAAACAAAACTGTGTGTATACATACATATGTATATATATATATATATATATATATATATATATATAA